ATGTTCAATTCGTGATGAAAATGTTTCCAAATGTTGTTGTTCTTAGTATGTTCAATTCGTGATGAAAATGTTTCCAAATGTTGTTGTTTTTAATATGTTCAATACGTGATGAAAATGTTTACAAATGTTGTTGTTTTAGATATGTTCAATTCGAGACGAAAATGTTTACAAATGTTGTTGTTTTTAATATGTTCAATTCGCGACAAAAATGTTTACAAATGTTGTAGTTTTAGATATGTTCAATTCGAGACGAAAATGTTTACAAATGTTGTTGTTTTTAATATGTTCAATTCGCGACAAAAATGTTTACAAATGTTGTAGTTTTTAATATGTTCAATTCGCGACAAAAATGTTTACAAATGTTGTTGTTTTTAGTATGTTCAATTCGTGGTGAAAATGTTTACAAATGTTGTCGTTTTAAATATGTTCAATTCGTGATGAAAATGTTTACAAATGTTGTCGTTTTAAATATGTTCAATTCGTGATGAAAATGTTTACAAATGTTGTTGTTATTAGTATGTTCAATTCGTGACGAAAATGTTTACAAATGTTGTTGTTCTTAGTACGTTCAATTCGTGATGAAAATGTTTACAAATGTTGTTGTTTTTAATATGTTCAATTCATGATGAAAACGTTTACAAATTTTGTTGTTTTTGATATATTCTAAAGAAAGATTACTGTATGCTGCACTATTTGAAACTTTTCTGAATTCAAAATCTTACTCACCAATCTATTCTTCTCCACAATAGGGTCCCATTTGGAAATATCTTTTCTCACTTTCTCATAAGCCAAGCTACGTTTTATCTGGAAAAATAAGCATAAGGGGAAAAAACATTTTTATATTAGTGTTTGTTGCTCTTCTTTTAAGATACTTCATCAAATAACTCTATATAAATATAAAAGTACTGTCTGTTGTATGTCCATGTAACTACTTTGCAGGGTGTGGATGGATCTTCATCAAAATTTGTTTTCACAATTACATATAAGGGAGGCAACTTTTCATGTCCTAAGATAACCTTTTTATTAAACATGAATTTACATAACTTCCATCCAGGGGACAGGTACTCCAGCTAGTAATATAAAAATTTCAAATCAGACAGAAGAACTAACTAAATGTTAAAAGATTTTCACGTTAAGTACGGATTTAACAGGCATAGCATTCATAGCATACCTAAAGTATATGATATTTAAACAAATTTTGGCTAAAGTGACCTCTTTTAACATTAACTGAAATCTTTTGTATGAACAAAAAATATCTAAATATAATAAATCTGTTTGTCCTTCAGGTGAAAACACAATATACACTATAGTGTCTAATAACATATGTGACACTAATAGATTATACATGTATTAACAATAATTAATGTTAAATATCCCAATACAAAACGGAGCAAAATGTATTCTTGGAAAACAGGAATGTAAAGTGAAAACACTAAAGAAATTAAATCAAACTAGATATACTACATCAATTAGGTTATAAGTTATATAAAGAAAAGGATGACATGAAGAAGGCCTCATTTCACTCTTCAAGAAACAGGCAGGATTGGTCCATTTAAGTCCAAATCTAATCCACCTACCCTCTCAGCCTGAGGTGTTGGGAGTGGAGAATCTAAGGTCTTACTCTTCCTGGCAGCTGACCGAAGTTGTTTTTTAATAGCAGTGTGGCTCGACGTCTGTTTAAGGCTGGTTAAAAGTTCATGAAGTTTCACAGTATCTTTATCAGCTGGGAATGAGACAAATCAGCTTGTAAACATTGAATGATACGAAGTAGATATAAATACAATAGGCTGAAAAAATATATACATATATATATACAATACATATAAATGCTACAAACTGCCTCCTTCTTTCAGTTAGGATGAACTCAAACTCAATGATCCTGATAAAGACAAAACACAAACATCATCTCTGACAAGTCTGACTACATATACATCTCTACTTTTAGACAAAAATTAACAAACAATTCTAAGTTATAGCCATCTTCAATAAACATTTGTTTAAATGTTAATTTTATCAACTGCTTTCATTTTCTGTCTGTCATGAATGGCTCATCATAGAAAAAAAAATTTATATAACAAAACACTTTTTTTCAAGAAACATTACAAGAAAATTATCCATTTTTTGCAATTCCTAAATTTTATTTATATCAACATTGATCCATCAATCCAAGACACAGCGAGGCAACTTCTAACAGTCTTGTGGAACACCCCATCTCTTCAGTGAGCGTTGTAAACCTACACGGCCGTATGTTGCATATTTATTTTGAAGTACACCTGGTCAGGTGCCACTCACCATGGAGTGGAATCCAACCAATGTAGTGGTGAGAAATAAAAAAGATAGGACTTACCCTCTCACAGTCAAAATGAAGTGTGGAGGATGGCAACAGGCAGCAAGTGATAGAGGAGATGGCCAAATGATGCAAGTAGTGGACTATAAAAATATGAGATGTGGTCCACACGTCACCCTGTACAATCTCTTTTAACAGGCAATGAAAGTGGGCAGCCAGAGAGAAGGTGAGATGACATATTTGGTAGGAGGAAACTTGTAAAATACGACTGGAATCCTCAGATAATGATGCATAAGCAAGCCAAAAAAAATTGGCGAATCCATCCATTAAGGGTGACAGGAGAAAGATCACGGGTATAAAGAGGCAGGAATGAGATCCACAGAAGGAAGCAGTGCAGGCAAAATAACAACATAGAGCAGGTACTAGACAAATAAGATGATCAGGATTGACATGGGAATACAAATGAGAGATGGAAGGTAAAGAAGTAGGAGTGAAGGTGATGTTCTCTTCACCCACCTGCTGATGTTTTAGGGATAAAACTATTATTTAGATAATGGAAAACATAGGTATCGTGATAAAGAATACAGAAGATGTCAATAGCAAAAATATCTGGTCAACAATGTCCACATGCAAAAAGGAGCAAGAAATATATCTGAAATACAGTGAAAGATGGTCCAATGAGAAAGCAAAAACAACAGAGGAAGTGTCAGGATGGCTCATGACCAAAGGGCTTATTATGGAAGGCTCGACTAATTGCAATAAGTTTCAATAGTTTGACGTTAAAGGAACATTCAATGAGTGTCCAACGAAATGTGATCTTCTGAGAATCTATATATATATATATATATATATATATATATATATA